AGGTCCGGGCGGTCCAGGAAGTCCCACAGGTCCAGGTCGTCCATAAGGTTGAACTTTATGTTTGGGGCCAAGATGAACATCTGCAACATACAAAGCGAACATGTGTCTTAAAATGCAAGAATTGTTACCGAAATTACCAAATTCAAATTCAACGGACAGTTTGCAAGACGACAGGATTATTTATGTAAACTCATCTGCATACACTTTGAGATAAATATGACACTTACCCGACATCTTGTATTCTCCGTGAAGACGCTGTTCCATGACTGCAGTTCGGTTTCTTTCGTTATTGAGGTCTCGTTTCAAGGCATCCACCCCAATAGACAGCTGAGAAATGTCCTAAGGATATTGAGGTGAGAAATGGACAAACAAGCTTCGTAAATAAGATACACGTGGCTATGTGGAAACGGTGGTAGTATCACTTACATGTAGGGGATTACAAACTATATCGTCCTTCCTTATCTTTAAAACGTTTTAACTCAACATTGCCATCTAGATTTTTGTATGTAGACCTAATATTTCAAGTGACAAGACTATGCACAGGGATTGTGCATATTTTCAAGCCACACGCCTTGTGTCCGAAAGTTGTAGAGTCTGCAAATACAGAACAAAGAAATGCAATTAAGGTAAGAGTTTTTCAAACGCCCTTTGAAAGCTCTTCTTTCATGTGCCTGCTTGCATGTTTAGATTGCTCAGCCTCCATTCAAATTAGTCTGTTACTTGCTGTAAAAAACGCTATAAGATTTCTTCATTCAACTATTTAAATCTTTGACAGAAAATTTTATTTCAAGGAGGACCCACATTTCAAGTTGATCGCAGATCTCAGAGACACTGATACTTTATTGATGTCATCATCAATGATACTCATTAGGTGCTATCGCCAAACAGAAAAAATTGTTTGTTTGTTTGTTTTTATTCAGATCTCCATTAGCGCCTCGGCACTGCTCTTCTTGGGGTCCAACACAACATAACGAAATATAAACAACAACAACTTGTACAAATGGTATGTAGAAATTACAAAATGAAAAGGTAATTCAAAATTAGTAGGGGAGGTCATAGGTCAACAAAAAAACAAAAATATTTCAGTGTTATACGTAAAGGTGTACAGACCTTATCATATTTGTCAAACTTGGCATTGACGAACGTCACTAGAACAAGTCCCAGAGTGACCAGGGTCCCTACTACTGCCAGAGTGGTGACCACACAGCAGAGGTGGGTGTAGAGAAAATCACAGAAAACACGGTGGCGGTTTTGGCAAACCACGTCGTCTGTTAAGCAAAATATATTAGCCCCAGGGTATTACAAAGTTTAGTTAACTAGTTAAAATGTTGCATGGACATGAGAACTATAGAATAAAACGCAAGGCTTCAATGAGCTCGAATTTCGACAAATTTGAGGCCTAAAAACTTACATAGGTGAAGCTTCGGAAAGGTAGAATGTAGGTACTATCTATCAATCCATATTCTAATCGTTACACAACGCATTTATATTCATAAGTAAATGATTGTATTTCATGAGTTAAGCTAAAATAAACAATTACAATGAACATTTCTATAGAATTGATTTTAGCATAATTCTCACAACATTCGCATATCCTAAAAGAAACAAAGCACGTAAGCATTCTTTCTAAAATATAAAATCATATTACGAAAAGGTAAAGCAGAATAGTGCTGTATTCCAAACCTATTTGGAACACGGCAGGTAGCTTACCTGTGGACGTGTCCATTGCTTTAGGTATGTTGACATGAGTTTTGAAAGTAGAATCGTTACCATGGTTGACACCTCCGCTTGTGCCACTCCGACGAACGGGAGGGACAGGGGGCGGCTGCCCGCCGGTTTGGGGGCGGTTGCCCGGTCCCTCGGGAGGGGCCCGAACTGGCTGTGGTTGATCGCACATCTCTACTGTACTAGCAAGGAGTGCGCAGTCTGTAACATTGCAAGCTGTATGAATATGGAAATATTTTGAGTGACACTTTGTTTTTTACATGAGACAGACTAATTTCTGTGGATTGGTATGGTTTCAAGAAAAGACACAGTTTGAAGTCTCGATATGATGAAAGAGCTTTGATCTACTTTGAAGCTCCTTGAATAAATTCTTCTTGCTGTTTTCAATTCAACTCTTTTAACACCCCGCTTAACAACTCAAAATGTAATTTGATAGTTTTTTTATCAAAAAGCACATCTTGTTAACATATTTTCAAAACCTGCAATAGAGTAATAGGTTTAAAATAATGAGTCTGCTCTCGCCTCTACAAATGCTTTTGTTCACAAAAACAACTTATTTTTTTCCTTATGCTTTTTCTATACAATTCTATACTGGGAATAGCCCTTATCATTACATACTTGTGGACGCGAAGCGCTATCGCTACCCACAATGCCCTGTGTCTCCCAGCATGCAATGCTTCACGTGAATAGGTCAATAATACGTGCAAACAGGAGGTTCTACATCTTACCCCCCCCCCCAACTGCTGCTGAACCCGGTCCGAGCTTAGATCGGCTACATCTCCTATACAGACCCTCTTACAATTGTGACCTATGCATATCTCATGAGGTTTACGTAATTATTCAATGCAAATTACTTCATTTGCATAACCAACTAAACCATCACCATCATGGTGTTATTTCCTTGGCCATCGATGCCTTTCCCTAGATACAAATGCAGTGTGTTTGAATTCTAGTATTAGATCGTTATGCGAATCATGTAAACTCATGTAAAAATAGAGCTGGCAATGTATTGGTGTTTTCACATTTTATTTAGAAATGCTACGTTAAAATTTTTACATTTTATTGCATTTGCTTAGCATATTTCAAACTGAAAAAGCAGTACATCAGTGTATTGTGTAGTGTAGTAGTACAAACATAGTACAAACGACATGACTAATACTTAGTCTGTATCCAAGCAAGTTTTCAATAGTATGACAGCAATCATATGATATATAGCCACTGATAATTTGAAACTAGTAAATAATGGAAAAGTGAAGCAATACTCAACGCCTTAAGTTAAAAGCGTACAATTGAATGGAAAATAGATGTAGACTTAAAGCCCCAGTGCTACGGGGTGTTCATGTGCAGTGTGATGCATTGCTTTCTCTTTCAGAGGCAGATAGTAAATGATTCTAAAAGCTTCTCAGATAGTGCCGGAAACCTTAAAACAATTTTGGTTCGGCTGTACTATGTGGGAACACATTTCTATATTCACTTTTAAAAAGTCATCTGTCCAATACACAATACTAACACATCCACTAATATAAGCATTAAACAACATCAGTAGTAAATGCATTACACGTGATCATTAAGATCTCTTCAAGTTCATTAGAATTGTACATCTGTCATTAAGAAATCCTCAAGGCCTAGATTAGTTTATTCTCTAGTAGTTGTTAAGACTTTTACGTCATTCTGTTATTCTGTTATCTTTGTCTACTATGTATCATGTTACTCAGTATGATGTAACGTTACATGTAACATCACATTCTAATGCATGCATTTAGCCCAATGGGCATGAACATGCAAATAAAGATTCAATATTATATCACATCAATATTTTAAAACATCACATTCAGTTCTGTTTCTACGTAGATTTTCCATGTATTACTTCAACAAACATGTGGCCCATCGAATGCATAATCTTAACCATACCATACTCTGCCAAACAACATCACTGGACTAGCATACTGACACGTGTTCGATCTACTCTTTGGTTCTGTATCCCAGCGATTTTTACTGGCTTGACAATGATTGTATCATACAGTGCCACTGAAAATGTAATACTAAATATTGTGAAAATAAAGCAAAAATCATCCCCTTATGTGCTCACTCAAAAGTGTACAATTGCAAGTAAAATAGCTGGAGACCTAAAAGTTGTGAGAGAAGACCTTTTAGAACATTACAAAATGGCTTTACATTTACTTGCTGAATTTCAGCACTTGTATTTGGCAAGCTCTACTGACAAGAGAATGCTTGGCTGATGCCAGCATGTTTTGTTGCCCTCTTCCCCATTTATGGATGAGGGGCTTGACAGATAGACCGAACATTTGCACTGCATGAAACATCGTCCCACATAGGAGAACCAGTGGGGATTGACCAGTACTGCACGCACAGGCCAGAAAGCAATCCAAACAGGCCATTCTTGTCACTTGGCTCTCCTGGATTCCATCCCTGTTTAAAAAAAACATCATATTTGAGATACTTCTAAAATGATATAAAACATATTAGATTAGGTACGATGTACTATGTTCAACAATACTAAGTTATAAGAAGAGTAGTTTCTGCATGATTTAAGTCAATGAATTTGATAAAAGCAAAACATCGGATTCTAGTTTGTAGTGTTTTTATGTGCTCAACAGCAAGTAAGGCTTGTCAAGGTACCTTGTAGTTGCCCAGAGTAGACCCATCCTCCCACTGCCAGCGGCTTTCACGAACAAATAGGTGGCGACGTTCAATATGCCTCATGCCGATCCAATAATTCCGGTTTCCGCCTTCCGTGAAGACCAGGCTTCTCAAAGCGTGGTCCAGCTCTTTTGTTTTAGGCATGGCTAGCCTCCCTCCCTCCCTCTTACAGGCCTTCTTGGCGTTGTCGTAGGACAGTTTGTTGAAATTAAGCCTGAAGCAGGTCCCAGCAAGGAGTTTGTATCCGGCTTTGCAGCTTCGGTTCATAGCAGCTGAAATAGGAAGGGAACGCGGCTTAATTTGATCGAAAACACAGATTGGGTATGTAAATAGTATTATTCACTTCCTTTGGTATCTAAACCGTTTATTGGAGACTCACCTGTAATCTGGTGGCCTGGTTTCTCGGAGGCTCTGGTAGACCCCGGTTGTCCGGGGGGTCCCACAGGTTGTCCACTGGGTCCGGGTTGTCGAAGAGGTCCGGGTTGTCCAATAGGTCCGGGTTGTCCAGGGGCAGTAGGTCCGGGTTGTCCAGCGGGTTTGGGTGTCCAGCAGGTCC